AAGCGATTATTGCATGTGTGGGTTTTGTGCGCGTAGTCGGGGAGCGTTATCCATCAAGGATGTGGCTGAATATTCGCGGCCCCTCTTCTGGCACGTGCGCACATTTCATTTCTAGGGATCCACTTGCAAGGGGCAGCAGAAGCGTCTGCTGGTGCTCCCCCAAAAGATTCTAGAATCAATGTCACTGGAATGTGAGCGAAAAGTCAGAGGTAGCAAGTTAAGCTTCCTTCCTCCCAAACTAAACTACAGTTATGATCCGTGGCCCTAGGAAACTCACTGAAGCATCCCAGAATATTAACCAAATTTGTCACAATGTTGTTATTTGACTCTAGTTTGTTGCTTCAAATTTTGAGCCAGTAAATCAGGTAGCCATTATTCAGTACCGTTTTGAACAGACGCTGCGTTTCCGAAAATACCCCAGTTTTCCAAGGTGGATCCAAAACCGCCATTTTCGGAACCTTGGACGATGCAACGTTGCGGTGGCCTCCACCGTGCGAAGCGACGAGAGTTGGAGACACGCTTCAGATTGCAGGTCGGAGAGGAGATACAGAAGCGGAGGGCAGGCCGTCAGCGCGAACCAAAACGCGTGATAGAAGATCTCGCCCCCAGATTCGACACTTTGTGCGGAACAATTGAGACCATCGGTAATAAATTGCAGAATGCGATCGACGATCCCGCGGGAATGAAATTGCACTGATGACGGCAAGGGAAGTACGGCCGTCCCATGATATCGCGAGAATAAGTTGCAACGACAATTGAAAATATCTTGCCGCACAGCCAGCACACAATTTGCGGAATAGCGATGGATGCCCAGATACCGAAATCAAGATTGCATCGAGTTTCAGGGGATATGGGCTGCAAGCATGTTTGAAGATAGATCAAGACACTTTGGAACAAGGAGAATAGAGTTGCTCGAGTGTGGTGGAAGGCTAGCCACATGTCAGGGGATCGTCAAAACGCCCATTTTGATGATATACGGCTTGTGGTTCACGTTGGCGAAAGTGACTTTATGGCATGGAGAGCAGCTCAAGGGTATGGTTGCTGCCAAGGGAAGACTGAATCTCATCTCCTCAAACCCAAAACAAGGGCTCTATCCCAAAGGTGATGTTCATCGCAGCTGTGGCTCGCCTGCAAAAGCGACTAGACTGGACTTGCTTCAATGTGCTTGCGAGCGTCTGGCCCTTTGTGGAGACGGTCCCCGCCCAACGCTTGTCATAAAGTAGGCACCCCGGAGCCCCAGAGACGAAGCATATCAGTGTCAAGGGAGAGATGATTTGCTTGCATATGGTCAACAAGGTCTTGCCAGTAGTACACAAGTAGTTTTGGCAAGCCAAGGCCTCAATTGTGGTCCAATTAGATGGAGCCCGCACCCATTGGAAAGCCTCAATAGAACTTGATCTTGAGGCCGCTTTGCACTCCAAACAGTTTAAATCATGCTGAGTTAAAAGGCGAGCAATAGCCCGGACTTAAGCGTTCAACATCTTGGGTTTTTAGCAGTTTGCAACAATCCTCCCTAGAATTCGTTTTTAAATATTTATTGAAGACACCATATTGAACGCGATTCAATCTTCGAAAGCTACCCATGAGAGACGTTGAAGCGCATTTGGAGGTCACTCTTTGCAGCCATGGCTTGCATACTTGCTGGCGAAGGTGGCAACGCCTTGACTTGCCACACGTTGGCAAGGAGGCTGAGAGGAACGCCGGAGAATTCGCGTGGGAAGTGCTTGTCCGGAACAAAATTTTGACAAATGCAACTTGGCTTTTGAGAGATGCTGGCAAGGACTGATATGCCATTCCAAGTGGCTAAAGGTGGTTTCCAGAGGTTTGAAATGTGATATTTCTGTTCCTGACATGATTTCGTACATTGGAGCAAGCCTAAATCACGATTTTTCCTGCTTTCCTTAACTGAAAGTAAATCAACACGCTCTAACAGAAAGAATACGACATTTACCAACAATTTCCACGTTTTATTTCGCAAGAGTGCATCGAAAGTGTCCAGGACACCTTTGGACCATGTGCGCCGTCATGGTGAACTTTGCAGCTCTTCAGATCTCCCTGTTTCTGCCTCAACATGCAAAATGACGGCTTCCAAACTCCAATAATGGCAGTCGGAAGGGTGTTCTACCATTGTTCGGGATCAGGGTTTCCTGGGACTCCTTGACTGGATAATCTACAATTAACGTCCCTTTCAAATATTGCACACAATTGTGAGCATGAGCAGGGCATAACTGGAACATTTACCAATGATATTTGCAGCAAACTATAATTTTTTGTGAAAATGACTGGACTGCATCCTAGAAGGACGAAGATTTGTGGGAATCACAAAATAGCTGAACAGTGATTTTAAAAAAATGGGCCAAGTTTGACACCAGAGACGTGAGTGCCCATAATTAGTATGGATTACAATAGCAGTGAAATTTCAAGAGCAATACTCGCCGAATCCGAGGAATTGAACGGCAGCAAACTGTGGCACGAATTGTGGGAGCTTTCCACTTGGCACAGGTTGAAAGTTTGCGAAAAATAAAGGTTCAATATTCCACAAAGTTGTTCAGTGACGCGGATTCAATACTGTGCTAGCACAGGATGCATAGCGCTATGCATGTTGCAGTGCTTTTCAACGATTCTTGGCCCTTTCCATGTCAAGCATGGGTAAAACTGCGCAGATGGAACGGTTTGTCTGACGCCGTTGGGCTCCAGGGCTTCTCGCGCCTCTAGAATTCAAATTCCCTTCGAAACGCAAGGACGAAATTCTGATATGATTGGAGGCAAATGCTCCTCCTTTGTGCATTTCGAAATGCATCGAAATCCTTTGTGCATTAACGATAGTTAATGGGAGAATAGTTCCCGCGCCCCACCTTCATCACGCCATCTGAAGGGTGTAGCCATCGGAATCTTTCCGTATCCGCATGTCAACAAGAGCCTCCAGCAACGGCAATTATCTATTTGAACAATAAAATGCCAGTCACGCAAGTCAAGGATGCATGGCTGCGCTTTGACAGATCTCAGCTGTTGCATATGGAGACAGAAAAATAAGCAAATTGTGGAGTGGTTCTGCGTCTAACGACACCAACTGTCCCACGAGCTTGCAGGAAGGAGAAACTCCTTTCATGAGAGCTTGTCTTTATTCTCTATCTTGCCCACTACCTATCCGCGATCCACGCGTTGCAGCGGACCTCGCCCCACGCCCCTCATTCCTACACCGCGATCACATTGGAAATCGTATTGGGGAAGCATAGCATTGACGTGCCCTCCGCATTGCGCCACTGATTGCGCACCAATCACTTCTAGAAAACCGACCCCCATGGCGCTTCCCTCTTGGGTGTGCGTTTAATTTAGAGCAGTTGAGACACTATGCTGTGTCTGGCTGGTGACGTCAGTGCACCTGGACCTAATGAGATTGGAGCGGTGAACTTGATGCTTGGCTTCGTTGGAGTCCACCCTTTGGATGTCCATTGGGATCCACAGAATTTAACAGACTCAGACAAGGGATTTTGATCTTTGTGTTTCAAACGCTGGGCGTGCGAGTAGTCTGCCTCCCAGCTTGCTGGGGTGTGTTCGTAGCTTGTTTCCGCCCATTCTACGGTCCGAAATTGTAGCTTAACGCCTCGCGTATATCAGGTGGCGCGCGGGATAGGACGGTGTTGTTGGCGGTTGGAGTCCACGTGTTGCGGGAGACGTGTGTTCTGGCGGCAACCACCCGTAGACCATGTCGTCCCAGGCGCCCGCGCAACCTGGATGTGCCGATGGTGGTCGATTCGGTTGAGTCTCCCCACCGGGGCGGTTAGACAGCTTTTTTTTTTTTTGGGGGATATACTGGTGGGTGGAATGGTGCGTAACTGGCACAGAGAGGCGTCTGTCATGAGTAGACAGGCACCTCATTGGCCGTCCTTTGATCCAAATTTGGGGCGGCATGCGATGGCATGTGTAAGCTGTACTTGTCGCTTTGACAAGCAGTGCGGCCGCGTCAGATCAGTATCAAATAACTGCAGATACATCCTGACAGCTGTCGGGATGTAGTGCAGACAGGTTCGATCAACATCAAATAATTGTACTGTGTACTTGCCACTTTTGACAGGTAGTGCCGACAGGATAGATCAGCATCGGTTGCCTGTCAATTGCATCGCTCCCATGATGTTCCAATTGTTGGAAATCATGCTTGTAGCTGATATCTGATGTGCTTCACTCTGCATCGAGACCTCCGGGTACCGGTGAACTTGCACCACTCACTTGCTCGTCGTTGGATCTCTCTACCATTTGAACACAAGGAGCGTTGTGGAATTTGAGGTGTCCCGTGAAGATGAGCTCGTGAAGCGGACTAGGCAGTGGGCGCAATTCCAGCAATGGCGCCGCGTTCCACTGCTGTGTGGCTGCTCGATGTTGGCCCCTGTCCAATCTAAGCAGATTCACAACGCCGTTTCAGGTTGCGTCTGATGTCCGACCTCTCCTCCATCCTGATGTTGCAAAATCAGAACAGCGAACAAAGCGCCCGCAGTACGGCTGATATACTCCAGGCGGACCGCAGGGTGTGACTAGGCCTTGATGTGACCGTGAGGTGTGTGGATGCACATAATGCCGACCTGCCCCCACTGATGTGTTGAGCCCCCGTCCCCCAATTCCCTTCCCATGCGTGCGCCCTGCGCGTTCTACAACAATACAACAATACAACGCCCACCCATCCCATGGTGCATTCCCCGCGAACTTCGCAGACGGCTCCCTCGTCATCCCCGGACGTGCGCACGTCACACACTTGCGATCCTCGCCACAGGCGTCAACTTAGGTAATCTGCGTGAGCGAGCCGCCCGTGGTTCCCGCGGTGCTGGGCGCATGTCGGGCCAAGCGCCTACGCGCATCAGCGACCTTGCCCATAGTAACGTTGGCGATAACGCAAGGGCCCCATGCTGAACTGCCGGCCATCAGCCAGGGACTCGCGCGCGCACCCCCCCCCTCCCCCAAGCCACGAGTCACCACCGCGTCAGTGGGGTGGGCAGGGCCCGGCCGCCATGCAGGGGCAGCGGCAGGCGTTCCCGGAGGCCATGGCGCCGCCGCCCGCACCGCCCGGACAGAAAGTTGTCTACCGCTTGGTGCACGCAGGCCGGCTGGGTGTTGTAGGTCTGCCGGACATGTGTGACCGTTCGGGGACTTCCGAGCGTCAGAAGGGGGACGGCAGGCCCACGCTTCTCCTGACGAGGGCGGATGCGTCGATGGCAGAGTGAGTTTCCCGGCCGGGGTCCACAACCCGCCGATAATCCAATGTGGAACACCAGCCACCCTGCACGAACGCCGTGTTGGGCTGCGCGCACCTCGGCAGTGGCGACGCTGCAGAGGGCCAGCCCTCCGTGTCCCTCTCGCACGCCCAGGCGAGGCCCCGATGACTTGTGGCGCTTCGGCGAAAGGGCGCTCCGCCGCGATCGCGGGTGTCGGGAACTCCCTGCCATAGTGTTTGATCCCGCTTTTGTCGTCGCCCGCAGTTGGATCTGATTTTTCGTGCATGTGTCCGTGTTCGACGCACGACGTCGTTGTTCCCGATGCTTGACGGCCTTTGCTACAGGCACGAGCCATCCGTCGGTGGCGCCAGCGACTTTGTCCTGCCCCCGTCGGCGCCCGAGGCGACGGCGCCAGTTGCATCGTCGCCTGGCGGCCATTGCACCGCCGACGTGGCTGAGGCAAGGAGGGCGAGGAACCGTGTGCAGCAGAGGAACTTCCGGGCGAAGAGGAAGAGGAGGATGGCGGAGTTGGAGACCAGCATCCCGGGCCTGCGGCAGGAGGTGAGGGACTCTGTAGGCTCGACACTTGGATGCTGCTGCGCATGCAGTGCTGGCGGATGTCGTCCCCGTCTCGTGGCGTTGTGGTAACGCTGGCGGGGTTGATGCGACCAGCGCGATGATGCCCGTCCATCCACTTGGTGACAAGGATTTCAGAATCCATCAGTTCCGGTCCGTCAGCTTTCCTCGTCCCGCCATGAGATTCGTTTGATCAGAGAAAGGGAGCCAGGGCGCCTGCGTGCCGATGGAGGGCTACAGGTCGACACCCGCGCGTCTGCTTGCGCCCTCTCCGTACAGAAGCACAGTAGCAGAATAACACACAGACGCGAAGTAGGCATTTGCGGACGCGGATGTTCCTCGTCGATTGCGTTGCCCCGGGCCGGCGAAAGCCCCTTGTCGAAGGAAACCCGGGGCAAAGGTGCTCTCTTGTTGGCGAAGCCGTACAAGTACAAGAAGACCGTACAACAAGTCCGCGCCAGTTCATGCGACAGTCGCGTTGTGCGAAATCTTGAAGGCTACCACGCTGTCCAAATTCGAAGTGGCTGAGTTTATCAGCACAGGGCAAGTCACCGTCATCTTTACTTGTTGGGTTGTGCCGGTGCCATCATGCCGCCATGTGTTTGAAGCTTGACTGTAGTTCGCGGGCTCCACAGACAGGCGATCTGCACTGTGCACAGCGCTTCGCTTCTTCATGGTCGTGGATTTTAACGCGGACATTGCTTTTGAGCTTTAACGGAATATGCCGCCCTTCCTGTGCCCTCCGTCACTGACCTGTGGGCCCACGACAGGGCAACAAATGTGCACTATTATACCCACGTGAAGAGTCACAGACATCCAAGCAAGCGCGTCCAAACGGTTGCTGAGTATCGTGGCTAATAGCCCCCGGGGGTTCCCAGTTTGCATTGCACAGATGACTGGCCCAAGTACAAAAATCAGAAAACAGTGCATGCCAGCATAGCTACGTGAATCGGATAGGAACAGGCTTGGTTTTTACGTTTATGTTTACGTTTTTACGCGTAAAAACGTAAGTTTGCCAAAGGCCTATTTTTGCGGCTATTTTTACGTTTTTACGGCTCCCTTGGACGCCCAGATTACGTGTTGAAAGTTGCGTACAATGATCAGTCCTCCGCCATATCCAGCACCCGCAACACAGTGTCCACCTCGCCCTTGGCAAGGGCAATGATGGTGTTCAACAAAAACTCGTTTTTTTTTCTGACCCTTCCAGGCTGCCACTCTCCGGACTCCGTAAGTCTGTATGTACTGTCCTTATGTACACCGGGCAGTTTTTACGTTGTATTTACGTATTTTTACGCATTTTTACGCGTGAAAACGTAAAAAACTGTTTTTACGTGTAAAAACGTAAATACGATCAGTTTTTACGGCGTAAAAATTAGGCCTGGATAGGAACCTTGAATAGGCCGGACCTTTCAATATTTGTCGTCGAATCGGTGGAATTCCGCACCGCGAGGGAGTATTACCCACAACCTAAAGCTCCGTTGCAGTTTGAACATTCCCTAAAGAAATGCAGTATTCACTGCAACCGCCAATTCGCTGCAGGTGGAGCGGCTCTCGATTAGGAAGGCGGAGCTCGAGAGAGAAAACGCCATCTTGTGGGCTTACGTCACCCATAACGGCGGACCATCGAGGTCAGAAGCTCTCCAAAATATAAATAGGATGCAAAAATAGTTTTGTATCTTGTACTGGTTGCATTCGCTTTATTGCTCAGCTCCTTTGGAACTGAATCAAGTGGACTAGCGTGACAGGGAATGAAGAGATGGAGTGGAGGGAGGGAGGGAGGGAGGGAGGGAGGGAGGGAGGGAGGGAGGGAGGGAGGGGGTATGCACGATTCTCCTGTCGAATTCATCAGATGAACTCAATTGATGGAATTGTTTCGACAAATTGGACCACCACGTCGTGCACGAATAGCGATCTGCGAGAACCTTTCAGTCCCCTGCAGCGCCGAATGTGCTATGGCCATGTTGCCGCAATTTGACACAGAAGGTGCATCTGCAATTTGGTTGGAATTTGGTGCAACGGTGCGTGTATAGTATCATCGATGTAACACATAATAATGCTGCAGCAAGGTTAGTGCAACAGCATGGACGCAGCACTGCGCACACACTTTGGCGCTTGTCATATTGGCATTTGAAGATTTCCTGGGACGTCGTTGATGCATGCAATGCGGTACGGTATGCAACATATACTGTGCAATGGTATGTGCTATATGTCTGCAATAGCCTGTTGCTTGCCTAGTAAACTATTTTGACATAAGTGCGTATATGCAGAGATTTAGGAGAATTACAAGCACAGGTTGCGTGTCACTCCCTGGGACCTGTGCGATTGATGTCAAGAGGACGAAAGTCCCCATCTCGGCCCACCCTGCCAAGAAGAACAGAAGAAAATAGGGAATGAACATCCGCGGACGTCATTTCGATCGGTGGTCAGGGACGGGTGGAATTATACGCACTCCGCGAAGGGGGCTGGTCACCCGTATGCCCGACGCATATCGCATCGTGTTCGCCAGCAACCCTGCCGAATTCAAAACCAGGGAGCGGACGGCGCCTGCGCCCAAGCCGTGGGCTGCTGTGAGGCCTTTCTACCGTGCCAACCCAAAAACGAAGGCAGCAAGGCCAAGTCGCCGGGGTTCAGGAAATCCCACCCGCCCCTTGCTCTCCCCCCCGCCAGGTCCTGGGCACACACTGATTCCCGTACAGCAACCAGCCTACACTTGGGCGGCAAGACTGCGGCACGGTCTTTTGAGGCTTGTGAGACACCCCACTGCTATGGGCAGTTCGGGAGAAATTTGTCCCCGCCTTGGGAGTGGAGAGGGCCAAAAACACATATGCAGTTCCCCACACTACATCAGACCAACTAGCACCTCCAACAAGCCAGAGAGAGCGCAAGCACATCAGTTCACCGTCTCACATCTTTAGGGTCGCACCAGAACGATCTTGAACCACGTTGGCGAATCTCCGTTAGTTGGCATTCAATCATTTTGGCGGGGAACGCCATGCCCACAGGCTGACTGTGCACCTGGAGACCTTGGGACTGACTAGGTGTATGGGAGGGAAGATCGACAGTGCTGAATGCTAAGGGGATTGCGCCGGCGGCAGCCTGCATAAGTGGTAAAGTGCCAGATATGGCGACGCAACGCAGAATGTGATGCCTGCCAGGGCCAGGGCAGGCGGCCACTTTGCAAATCGTTCGCCCGGCGCAACGGTTTGGTGGGGTTGGATTAGGTGGGGAGCAGGGTATAGGCGTGAGAGATGCCGCGCTGGACTCCGACGGGACGCGATGCCATCAATGCCAATCCGCAGAGAATGGCGCGAGGTGCAAGGCTTGCGTTGACAGCTTGAAAACGTCGCTTGTTGAGAGGCAGCTCCGCGGTCGCCGATCTCGCTGCCGTGGTTTGTGCTCCTTGCGGGCGGCGGGCGATAGGGGCCGATGCGATCTCCTGATCTCCGGACGCCAGCCCTAAACGCCTTCGCTTTTGAGTTGCCACGGCACAAGAGCCCCACAGGAGCACGCCGACTTCGCGCACGGGGGCAGCCAGCAGTGGCTGGTACGATCCGAGGCGCGTCGTTCAGACGGGCGACCACCCCCCTTTGCGGACTGCATTTGGTTCCACTCGTCTGGGACGTTAATGCAATTGGAAACTCGCGGAACCGTGTTGTGTACCACACGATCATTGATTGCAGGATGTCGAGCGGTTGTCAGAAAACTGGAGACGCCGAAAAATACATTGTCAACTTCACGATTGGATCAGCGTATTGGGGTTGTCCCCTCCTTGTCCTGTCGACCCAAGTGGACATACACAATTTCAAATCAGCGTTCCATAGCGATTTTTGATCGGATGGACTTGAAATTTCGATCACACAATTAGCATAGCGCCCAGATGCTCTGGTTCAAGTTTTGTGTCCATACTGAAAGACACCTCTCTGAAATATCCTCCCAAGCAGCGTTAAAGGGATGTCACGAGTGACATTTGGTGTCTCATTGTCTTTTCGCCCAGGGCGCTGGTTGGGTGAGAGCGCTGGCCGCGCAAGCGCACCGACCTGCGGATCGAAAGCAGAGCGCATTTGTGAGTAGGTTGTCGCCCACCTTTTGAACTGGGCACGGCTTCATTGGCGAAAATGCCTAAAGTTGCGGCCGTTGCCACTCGGGCTACGACAATGTTCACCCTGCTCAGCACCTTACGACCACGGCCAGCCTGACAATGAAGCTTAGCGACGTTCTCTCCGTGGACCCATGCCCTATAGAAGCACTCCCAGAAAATCCTTGCCCTGGATATTGGCAGGAATGTAGGTGCGGGACGATCCCAGATTTGGAGATCTTCCCTCAAACCCACGTACAATATAAAGAACCAGATTTAGGCAAGACTGCTGAGCGATGTTGATGAGCGATCCCTGTCGTGGCCTAACCAAAAAGGAATGTTTTCTTGGCCATTCCCAAGGGCTGGTGAGTAGGAGTGAGGCGCTTTGTGACAGAAAACCTACTGTGGCTGCCCGTTGTGCAACCACAGTGAGTTTTATAACTTTCGCAGCATGAGCGCAGGCTGGCCCTCTACACAGTGCCTCGCTTGATCAGTGCCACTGACTCAGTGGCCTGAATGATAGAGAGCAGGCGTTCGTCATGGCTTGAGAAGAAATGTGGCGCTTTCTGGCAATTGCAGCCAGTCGCACAGCGAGCACTAGAATACGAATCATTAGTTATTTTTACATAATGCCTGCGGTGGACACGCCTGACTCGATGCATAGATTAGTCGTTGTAGTTCGACACACTGCAAGCCGCGCTTGCTAACGTGTGGCTTGCCAGTCTCACTCGCTAAAATGCACATCTGGCAGATCCATGACTTGCCAAAACGAGCCATATGTATATGGGGGATATAGGGGGAGATCTCCCCCTCGCGCTATCCGTGCACAACACGAACAAGAAAGGTCCACGGGCGAATCCACTAGGCACTAGCAAAACAAGGACAAAGCAACACATTCTGCGAACACATATGTATGCATTTCATCAGTGTTTTGCACGCCAAAAACACGAAAATAACCCAAACCCGTAAATTCTGTACACTTTTAAACACGTGTTGTTTGGCCCATTTTCCCAAGTGGGGAGAAGCCAC